CGGCTCGACTGATATGGGTTCCACGTTCACGGGTTCTACTGATATGGGATTAACGCTCACCGGTTCGACTGAGATAGATTCAACATTGACCGGTTCCACAGACGTCGGCAAGGTATTCTCCGTCTCGTTTCCTGCGGGTTCCACGTTTACTGGTTCGATTGATATTGGTTCAATGTCTACTTGTTCCTTCGCGCTGTCTTCGAAGTTGGCATTTTCGCCTACGGCTGGTTCCATGTTCACCGTCTCGCTCATGATCGGCTCCACACTGACCGTATCGCTTGGGGTGCTCACCTCCTGAGTAACCTCTTCGCTGTCCCCCTTGTCCTCAACCTTGGAATCCTTGGATTTGTCCAGCAGCAAATCGCGCTCATCTGTTTTGTTTTCCGACTTCTCAGGTTGAATTTCTTGTAATTTTTCCAACGAGTTTTTTCTTTTCTTTTTAATGTACATTCCAGCACCTACCCCAGTTGCTATAACTGCTGCTAGTGCTAAAACAGAGCCTATGGAATACAACATAATTTTTTTCTTCTTGTTTTTCTTCCTCTGAACTTCATGCTCGATAGACTTTAATGAATGCAGTGACCCCCTAGTGGCGTATCCTTTTTGCGACAGACATGGTGTGAAACAGTACGATACGAGAAGCAATTGGAAGAGAAAGAAAGCGTTGGATATTTTCATTAGGGAAGGCGGGCAGGTGGAATGTGCGTCTGTGTTGATGTATCCTTTGAGTCACGGGCGATGTGTATGATGGTAACTTTGTGCAGATTTGGAATGCGTGGGTGCGAGTGTTGCTTTGCGCGTGTCGATATCTGCGTCTTTCGCTTGCACCTTCTCGCTTGCGCGTGTGTGTAAGAGGGCAGCACTAGGGGAAATTACGCCTGCCGCTCATAACTTATAATTAGGGAATTTTTTTTAGGAGGAATTAAAAAAAGTGGTGAATTCTTTTTTTTTTTTTTCTCTGCCCTTTTATGGTGTTTGTCCAATTTCCGGAGCACAATGTGTGTTCCTCAATGTCTTTTAAGCTGCACATACAACGATGAGAAAGTTGAAACATGCATTTGCGATATTAAAACCTAGCATGAACATAAAATGAGAAAAAAAATGAAAAGAAAAAAAAAGGAAATATGAGCAGAAAAGCAGAATTTTTTTTTCTTTTTTTTTTTTTCATTTGAAAGAAAATAATTCGATTTTGAATCCTAGTGTGTGCTGGTTGTGCAGGGGAATTTTTTTTTTGTTTTTTTGCTTAGGTGTCGAAATGTAAATTTAATGAGTAAATTATATGCACATTTGCTACTTCTGTTTTGATTAATTTTTTTTCCCCTAGTATGTGTGTCCATACGTGGGGAAAGAAATGAATAAAGGAAGGTAAAAGTGTACACACAAGGGGGAAAACAAATATGTACGTATGATCGTTTATACTAACTTGCGCTTGTGCGTGGCTGCCTTTGGAAGGGTCTGTCACACACTAAGAGTGGGAATGCAATTTTTTTTTTCTTTTTTCCTTCCCATTTTTATTTATAAATTTAGTCCATTGGACGACGGCTATGATCCATTCTCTCCGTTAACTACACACACACGTGGGCAGGTAACTGGAAAGAGGTAGTGAAATACGAAGCGCGCGCCTGCGTTAAAAGCGTACTTTTTTATTTCCCATTTGCATGTATCGCCTGAATCGGTGTGCCGTCTGGAAGGGGTGGAGATACCTAATGGGGTCGAGGAGTCCCGTTACGGGGTGGACTCGAGTTAACAGTTGAGCTGCGGAACGTTGCGGGGGAGTTCGCATGCGAGTCAAACCAAAATGGAAGCAAAATTAAAGCAGAAGGAAGGCGAATACCAAAGTGAACAAGTGCACATGCACAAGCGGGTAAACGTATGACCATTCACAATTATCCACATCCTCGATCTGTGATACACTTGGAGTATATGTCCACTCGAAGGGACAACAGTATGGAAAAAGAAAAAAAAAATAGAGAAAAAAAAAAGCAAACGCGAGGAAGCCAAGATTCCTTAACAAGTTTGTTCCCCCGTTTTGGATTCCCCCTCATGGGAGAGGGCGCATTTTTTGTTTTAGTCCTCGGCGGCATGGCGTTCTGAAGTGGACCTGCGCATGGCAGTGTGCGGGCAGAAGTTAACTGACCCCTCGATATTACACGTGTATGTATATGTATGTATATATATGATTACATATGTGTATATGTGATGTGGAAGGGAAAGAGCCTCATTGGTTGTTTCCTTCCCCGCGTCAGATTCCCATGCAACGTGGCACTAACTGGACAGAAAATGAGATAAAAATTACTTCCCCTCGCTTGTAACCATTCGATTTTCCCTAATATTGCCAATTTTGACATTAGCAAAGGGGCGAACATGTGACAATTTCTCCTCTTCGCAAGAGTGACCATTTCTCTGGGTTGTGCATTTGTTTATTTATTTTTTTTTATTAATTATTGTTTTTTTTTTTGTTCTAACCCCCGTTGCCAACTCAGAAAGGCGCCTGTATACTTCGCCGAACATGCCAGACAAGTTGTACTTAAAAATGTCCCTAGACTGGTGAACTAAGAAATGTCCAAGTGGTCAACCGGGCGTCATACTGTTATATCCGCGTCGATGTAACAACTGTCCGTCACCTTAAGTTGCTCAATAAAGGGCAACACAACTGAGGTTGTTGCTAACATAATTTGTAAATCTCACTGAGGTCAGCTTCCTTCCGCAGGGAGCATCATTTGATAAGCCTGCATTTTAAGGCCATGTTGTGTCTAAAATTGCTACAGTAAGAGGGAAAAAACAGAGGCGTGAAGATATCGGACAATGCATCACGCATATGCACATATGACACACGTGCGTAAGCACGTACTGATGTGTGCAAAAACACAACACCGCGGAACGCATCGATCAAAATGTTTTGACGAGTGACGTGGACCATATGCCAAACTTCATGAACGCTGCTACTACGCGATGGATATATTTTTCTCGTGCTTCTGCCTGTTCATTTATATTTTGTAGAGATTAAGTGTGCACATTTGGGAATCACCCATTCAATAATCATTAGGAGCCTTGTAAAGGTTAAAACTTGCATGCTGAACGGTTGGCCTTCCCATTTGGGAATACTCACGAGGGGAAAAACTTACCTGAGTTGCAAAAATGTAAGACTTCTCAAACATGTTTCCCTGTGGCTGATTTTCCCTCGTGCTCTCACAAGTGTACAATCAAGTTGCCCACATATTTGTCCAGATTCATATACCGTGCAATAAATTCATTTTAATACCATTTTTTTTCTCTTCCCCTTTCAGGTGTGAATTCTTACGAACGGAAACTTCATTATTGTTTTGAGTGGCGCGAAGGTGGTAAAAAAGAATGGATACTCACGCTCCTCCGTGTGAGTATGTTATCTTAACAGGGGATATATGCAAGGAGGGGAACACCAAGGGGTAACTCCCTCCATTTTTGCACAGTTGGCGTAACGCTTTTCAAAATGTACAAGCAAAAAGAAGCCTTCAATGGGGTGTAACTTCCCCCTCCCGGTACATACACCATATATACACATAAGTCGTCCCCCCAAAGCACGAAAAACCGCCAATTTCATTGTGATGAATAACTATGCTTCGCGTACGTACTTGTCGGATGCATAAGACGAACATTTATACATTGAGAGCGGGATGGAAGTGACGAAATCCAAAAAAAAATTGTTAAACGGAAATTCTTTACACCCCATGGGATGCTACTGTCTATACATGAAAATTCGCCTCTTTCCCATTCAACCAAACTCGCGTGACGAAAAAGGTGCCCCCTGATGTGTTCTTCCACTGGGGTGTTCCCTCATTGCCTCTTCTCCCTTAACCAATTTGTTCATTTTCAGACAAGTGCTTTGTTATGCATATGCGTCGGGAACCGCGGTTAAGGTAACAATTTTTTGCGCCTTCACTTGCTGTGTGGGTTTATTCATTCACCGAAAATGCATAGAGCGTTCGCGCGTTCGTGAATTTGCCCTTTTTTAATGTATTGCCAGGGGGCCCACGCATTGGCCAAAAGTCCCCAGACACGCCGGTAGATTCCCACACACGGAGTTTCTGCATGCGTACATACAATATAAATGTGTACATGCGCACATACGTACTATACGTACATACAGTAATACATACGTACAAACATAAATGCGCTTATTTGTGCATGGCTACGTCCACATGCGCCTTGTTGCCTTGGTCGCGTCGGTGACGAGTTGACCTTCCTCCCCTTCTTTTTATAATAAGCTCCATGGGAAGGGGACAAAAGAAGGCATACATTACGTACATGCGGGAGAAGTCGAATACGTGGTGACTGACGTCACTGCTCAGGAAGAAAGCATAAAAATGTAGCAGATGGGAAATGCCAACGGAAAAAAAAAGAAAAAAAAAAGGGTAAATGCCTGAACCGCGTTGGCGGGATGACTATTTTATATTATAAAAAAATTAGCTCTCCGCGCAGTCGACACGATGCATATGCAACATATTGTATGTATATGTACACGTGCTGTCAGGCATAACCACTTTTAGAACTACCCCTCCTTCTCTTAACCCCCTTGTACATGTGACGCACAGGGGAAAGGCAGGACATTTTTTATATCAAATACATCTGAGCATGCGCTCGACGTCCATGTGGCCTCTTGCGCCCTGAGAAAGAGGTCATCGCGATGTAGATGCCATCATCCGTCCGTGTTTTGCATGTTCGCTGCCCCCCAAGGGGGGCAGGAATTTATCCTCTCTTCCTCTTTTTGTGCGCCCTTATGTGTGAATGGGCCGAATCGCCTCCCCTTTATGAGTAGAGCATTTTTGCCTTCCGGCATGTGGGCACTGGGCGACGCGCCCGAGCTATACACAGCCATGCTGGCCCGTGGACTATGAAGGGGCGCTGTGCGCAACGGGGAAAGTGTTAATTTCTGGTGTTGCGTATATCTATATATATAAATATATAGATATATATATGTATGCATATATATAATAGCAGAAATCTAAACATAGCATCGCATCGCCTCATTATTTTGGGCATTTCCTCCTACCCGCGGGAGAAATCCCGGCGCCATCGCGTTCCTATTGATAGGGAGATGGGTATATTTTTCTCCTACGCCAAAATGCGTGAAGCATGCGTAACTGAGCATGTGGAGGCAGTGTACATATGTGGAAAGTGCGCATACGCAGCGCGATGGGTTAAAAAAAAAAATAAATTTAAAATGTAAAAAGAAATTGACTGCATAAAGTTAAAAAATAAAATGCGCAAATTCCCAAAATAGCCATTTCGCAAAATAGCAGTTTGTCGCATTAACATTCAACGCAAATTTAACATGTTAACATGCCAAGTAGAAAATTCGAACCACTTCAAACCAATTAACCAATCAAACGAATCAACCCGCGAAAGCGAACAATAATCCCTCAAAAAACCTTTCCCCATACAAAAGCCGTAGAAGGAAAAATTATATTGTAACGTTCTCGACAGTCGAAAATTTATATCCCCACAGTGAATAAAAAGTTTGAACGTTTTTATGCTACTTTGAAGCTATTCTCACTTTTGTTACGTTACTGCAAACACGTATACAAGCCACTCCCACTTCGAAAATTTTCCAAGCGTTTAAGTACTCACGGATTTACCAAAGAACGAATTAACAAACGTACATTTTATGTCATGTAAACATGCCCCTCTTGCGCATGCTACCTATTTGGTTTATGATCACGTACTCAATTCCATACCTGCGCTGTTTCATACATTAATGCTCAGTTAAATAAGCTCAGGATTTTTTACAAAAGTGGAACTTTCCAAACAGAAAAATTGAAAAAAAAAAAATAAGCAAGCAAAAAGGGAAACAAAAAAGGAAACAAAAAAAAAACAAAAGAGCTGTTCAGTACGTCCCCTCAGGGCTAAGATTTTATAAGAACACATATCCATTTTTTACGTACGCTTTGACAGCCACGAGTTAAACTGCTTAAACCTTCGTGAGCCCACGTGTAGATGGAAGAAACCAACTGATGAACCAAAAGGTTCGTATACCGCATACCGAATGTGAAGAGACAAAGCTGCGAAGCCAACATCATTATCCCATCTGCGTCTCCATTTTCGCGCCATCCGGCCACCCGTGAAAGATCAGCTGGCTTGGCATGGTTAAGTCATTTTCCCCCCAAGTGGAAAGGCTTCTCACCGCAATAGCTGCTACCCACGTGCGAGTGCACATATAAAAGGGAACCCCAGCCCCCCCCCCACAAACTGACCCACTATTGCAACTGCAACTGCAGCTTCAGACGCAACGTAACTGCACAGCGAGTAAACGGAGCCCCCCACAGCTATCCACATACATATATATGCATGCCCCTTCGCATATGTATATGTCCATATATGACACCCCCAGATCAACAGATACCCCAGTGAGAAGATTCACTCTTCCTATGAATATATCTATATAAATTTAAGTTACTATGATTTTCAATAAATCAATTTTTCGAAGGAGCCAACAGAAAAGAAGAGTCAGGTTGATCATTTTTGCCTGTTCCAATGTAAATGAGGGAATACCCTAGCATATGCTGAATACACAAGTCGACACACAAGGGGAGCAACCTTCTTTCCGATTATAACGTCATACGTAAATGTGAGCAGATATCTATCCATTCATATGAACTTATAAAGGTATAGATACAGTTATAAAGTTATACATAAAGGTATAGAGGAAGTTCCATATACTCAATTGGAACCAGACAGACGGTTACTCCGACACTTACTGGAAGCCCCAGGAGACAACAGAGCTACCGCGCTGTGCAGGAGCTATATATAGCTACATATATATATATATACAGACTAACCACTCACCCGTTTGCGAAGCCCAACCCGGGGGTCCCCGTTCCGATTTACGTAGTGTTTCTTATATGCATAGTGCTAATATAGCGACATCCCTACGAAGAGAAGAAAGGCAGAGAAGGAGATTCACCACCCGATTCTCCCTATACATAGCAGCCCCCTACCCCCCACCAGACCCTCCCCCTCATTTAGTCGCAGCACAGCCATCTGTAATGTGTCGTGTGTGTGGGTAGCAGAGGAGCGTAGGCGAATCGGAGAATAGGAGAAGTGGACCTAGCTGACGCGGAGAAGCGAAGAGGCTAACAGGTGAACAGGCAGCAGGTGAATAAGTGACAAGTGAAGAGGCGACAGGAAGGGTACCTCCCACCGCAAATTAATCATGGGCTAACATGCACAAAGGAGAAAACACACACACAGTTCATGTAGCGGGGGACAGTTAAAACAAGTGACCGACGAGTGCAAAACTCCTATGGCCCCATATACCGTTATATAAAT